TAAACGTGCATTCATACATACGAACGCTAATTATGATGTACGGACTGTTGTCAGTACTGTTACATTTAGCACAGAACAGACGCATTTTGAAATTATTATTTTGTAAGAGACATCACAATGTTGCGTGTGAATTGTTAAAATATTTTGAATGTCACAGTTTCGGGTGTTAAATTATTCATAGACGGTCTCGTTTCAACATTTCTAGTTTAAAATGAGGACCAAATTTTTAAAGTGGACAGGCCTATTAATTCTCAAGGAATGACACTGATGATGATAGTAATGTAAATATTCTCTATTATAAAGTAGTATAACTATTATCATTTGTTGTGTAATGTAATATTCCCAATTACATAAAAGTTTAAGCGCTTTCATCTACATATCTAGTTTTTTTTTCTTTCAATTTGTTCAGCACCTAATGGTGTCCTTTAAAAGTTCAGCAAGCTCGCCGTATCATATAACATAGAACAAGCACGCAACTATATATTTATTACGGGCGCTGCCTGCGACACAAGATCTCCTGTCGTCGGCTATAAATTATGGTCGCACAACCTTGCTCTTGTGGCTTTCCAACTTGCTCTATGTTGACACAAATGTGGTCCTTCGGTCTTTAGTGTCGAAGGACCAATTAGGACCAAACGTTGAACTTAAGTAAAATATGGCTATACTGCAAAATATCCTAAGGGAAAGTGTTAACTAGTTAATTTGAGTAATTTTAAGAATAAACGTAACCAGAATGCGATAAAAAAGTGGTAAACTAACGATGACATGACTATCATAACAAATCATAAAATACCACAAACGATGGGAGGACCCAACCAGCTTGAAATTGCACATAAAACTCGATGATACCATGTCGGCACATTGGTTCCTCTTTTTCACTCACCTCCGTAATTAGATCAGCGATAATATAAATTTATTGTTCGCCCTATAATGAAGATTTAGCTCCTAGTCTTGTTAGCTGAACAAAAGCCCTATTTTCAAAGACAGGTTATAATTTTAGAGATAATCTTTGGAGCGTTGGCCAGCGTCATCTAGTGTTCTTATTGTTCAGTGATCTCGTTATTAAAAGCGATGAGAAGCTTCCTCGGGTGTCGTCATATTATTCTCTTTATCGAACATTTTACAACCTAGTCTGTAATAAAAATATTCTTGCTTGTTTAGCTAACGAGGTCTGTCAATGATCCTCGAGATATCATTTTTAATTTGCTAAAAACGACGCCGTTTTTGTTTAAAAATACGTGGAATCGTTTGAATATGGAAATAATAATTTTGATGGTCAGGTCTTTGCCTTTGCGAGAGGAATGCATGAGGTAAAATATTCTGTAGCTTCTCCGAGCGTTGGCAATAACATCATCGTAGTAGTGGGTCCAGTGCATGCACCCTCTGGCGAGGTCAGCGCGTGGGTAGCCAGGCACAGGCCCGTCCTCCCACGCGAGCATACAGGCTCACCTCAGGTTTAATACACCAACCTAACAAAATCACGATAAAGCCATTTGTATTTGGTGGAATCCATTGTTTAGATCCAAAACATTTTGCTGTAGCAAAAGTAAATGCTTTCGACTTTGTATATTTAAATGCTGTTGGTTTTGAAGCTAGAATCTATTATTTTGTTTTGATCCAACAAAATATCCTCATCGTACGTTATAAAAGTATTTCCCATTTATCAAATTTTGTTTATTAGGTATCAAGTAATAAAACATTAATATTCTTAATTAAAGAAAAAATGAATAATGTTACATCTATGCTCATTTTACGAGGTTTATAACCAATAAATTGGGAGGTTATAATTGTAACAAATATTGTAGATAATATTAAATACACAAACCATTTAAAACGAATGTAATCAAATAGGCAATATGGGTTTTACGATGTTCAATTTGTATGAATAGTTTGTGGACGGGTTATTTCCCAGTAACACTTTAAGTGCCAGTACAGAATGGTCCAATAAATGAGATTTACTTCGTTTAGGACATTAGCATAATTTCGTGGGTGGGTGCATTTGGATCGAGACAGCTAATGTTATCTAAAACTAACGTAATAAAAGGGCTGTGGGTGTTGTATCCTTTGAATTAATATTACCACACGCTAGCAGTATTTATTTATCAATTTTGTGTTATTAGTCTTGTGATCTCTAGGACCACGACTTGGATGAATAATGAAATTCTCTGTGATATCATTTTTGTTACCCAATCTTCTTGTTTCTTACTTTTACGAAGACAGATGTGGTGTCCACGTATGTTTAATATTGAGTCCTCATTTAAAAACAATATGGCATATTTTACTTTCAACATCGTCGTACTTCCATCAATGCAACTTTTCCAGAAATGTCTGACGTTCGTAAATCAAGAGTATTGTCAATGATTTATTTTATTCTTGGTTACGCTATTCGGATTTCATGTTAATGTTATTTATTGTGAGATTATGATAATGCTTCTTTTGCTAGTAAGAAAAGATTTCCTCCGCATGTGGGCGTTTTAGCTTTATCTTGGAACATATTGAGTGCACTGAATTCGTGTATTGGATGAATTGTGTCAAGAATTTTATGGTTCTCATTTTAGTAATGGTTTAGATCGTTGTTTTGTTACTTAATATCAATATTGTTTATTTTCTCATTTTTTCCTATGTTTATATTTTAACTTTCGTGAGACATACTAAATTAATTATAATATTTTTTGAGTGTGCCAATATCTTCCCATAAGGTTAATCTTTTAGTAAGACTTTGTTTGGTGGAATTATGTAAAAAAACATCAGAATTAATAGAGGTTTTTATATAAAAATTCAAAATTTATTAAATTTCGATCCAACAATCCTGTATAAAGTTTAAACTAATGATTCTCCTTGAGAATATTCTAATAGCAACATAGAAAGTCTTATACAGCCATCTTGCAAGGTGTAGTAGATAAACTGAGGGAAATTGATTACTTAATGGTGTTCTTTGACGATGAAGCGACTCGTGATTGCCTTACATTACCTATGGCGGTTAGCAAAAACACCGTCATTATAGAACTTAGAGTTTGCATTTTTACATTTTCATAAAAACTTTTGATTTATCTGAACTTTATGATTAAGATCAAATGACAATATTGAGCAGTAATTACAAGGCAAAAGCAATGTTAACTTCTGCCTAATCTTTTAATGATTAATCAAGTTAGAATTTTCATTGTCAATGCATCAACACATTTCTCGGAAATATGCATCCAATATTTGAACTCAAAAAACGCACTATAATAGCGATGCAAAGGCGAAGGTTGCGCGTGCGCACGTCACGTGATCGTGTTCGCGACGTATCTGCGTTATTTATTGTCGACGTCCGGCCGGGGCTGCACGACCGTACTCGTACAGTGTACACTACACCTACGTACCGTCACCTACAGTATGTTATAAGCCTTATGTTTAGAATATGTTATGTCAGGTTATCTCTTCAGGGTTTTGTATTTATTTGTTTAGCTAATTTTATATGTGTTTTGGTTTTGAATTCGCTATAGGGTTTAAAGGAAAACTTGACAGCAGTAGTCTTCATCCTCTTTAGGTAAACGGCTCTCTATGGGGAGTTTTATGGCATTTACATGTATATCATCGTCTTGAAAATTAACTTATGAAATTAAAAAGAATACAACTCAAAAGCATTTTTGCTTTTCCTTGACTGTTATCAGATCACTGATGTCGTTGCCCCTTTAGGGTAAGCACTTACTCATCCCTTAACTGTGTAATACGTTTGATTTCTGCTACATTACAAAATTTTCGAATTCCACGCAAAAGAAGTCAACAACAAATCACCAACAAATTCGCCTTCACAACTAGTTACATAAATATTTTGATTTATTCTGGCGCAAGAATATACACAAAATTGAATTGTTAATTCTTATAATTAATACCAAGGTCCTACCAATCTCGTTTTGTTACAAAAAGTGAATTTTTAAACCAATCAATATTCAGTCTGCAATCTGATACCGGCCGTCAATCTTAATAATTTTAATTAATAATATCACAGAAACCTGTCACACGGAAGCTTCGACTTTGGGTTTATTATTATAAGATCGTGTTTTAGTTGACACTTTGTTGGAATTTATAATTTTCAAGAGAATGACTGTTATGTTTGTAAATGTGGAGACATCGAGTGTTAATGTGTTGGTCATTTAATGTTTGTTGTTTAATTGTGGACCTAATTGCTTTTGTAATTGCGTCTTTGGTCTAGTTTTGTATACAACTGGTATTATTTAGGTTGTATTTGGAGCAAAGATTTTAAACGTTTTATGCTTTGAGCTCACTACTTGTGTATTTCTAATAACCTGTGCTGAGACATGTATGACTTCTATTTTTTTAAATTGTTTAATGGATTTGTGACAAAATTATGACGTATGCAAATCTCAATTTAGAATACCACATTAATCCTAAAGACACACAATACATACCAAACAAGTAATCTATAAAAAACATCACATAAATTAATTTGAAAGCAAACTACAGCTCATAAAATGATACTATAAAGACCTCCTACCGTGTACAGCCAACGATTTAAATAGAGTAGCTTTAAATTAACATTTACATATGTCCTGTTAAATTTTGAAGTCAAAAGAAAAGACAAGATGTATGAATCAGGACAGAAGCACAATAGGTGAGGTAGACATGTAACCAATGAGCTCAAAGGATTGTAAAATTACTCCGATGTAGGAACATGCAGTGTAGCTCTTAAAATGGCTCATTATTCACTTAGAACAGTGTATGGTATGATTTGAGATTGTTAGGCGGCTGAGGAACTGGCTTCCTTTTATTTTTTATCTTAGTTTTAGGTCTGATCTGGGAAAAGTTTTGCAATGTTTAAAGGTTAAGGACGAGGGATAATATATTGTTCTACGATCTCATGGTTTCGCCCCTCCTTTTTGTGATTTTGATTCTAAGTTTTATTGGAGTTAGCAAAAACAAAATATCAAAAGTTGTAGTTTATTTATTTGCTTCTACTTTTTACCATATCATTAACAAATTCATTTTCTTTGTTCCAGCTGTACATCCCGATACGCAGGCGAGTTCTGCCAGCATCTGAACCCTTGCCACAGTGAGTCCAGTCCTCGATGTCAGAATGGAGGGTCATGTCGCGTCAGACCAGGAGTCAGTGGAGGGCCACCGTCCTTCGCTTGCGATTGTCCTCTGGGCTTCAGTGCCTCACTGTGTGAGATTAGGATACCAGCTGCCTGTGATTCAGCGCCATGTTTGAATGGAGCCACGTGTCGTCTGACGTCATTGGACACGTATGAATGTGATTGCCCGCCAGGGTATACAGGTGAGTCTTTCATTGTTTAAAAAGTCTGTAGCTTTAGTGTGCTAGGGTAGGTTGACAATTAAGGTCATTAACAGTCCTTAACTATTAGTTTTTACTTACTTTAGGCTGTAGGTAGAAGTAATTTACTTTTTCGTTGTGGTAGGGCTGTAATACCTCGATTGTGATAACATTTTGCATGTCATGTGTTTGCTCGCGTATCATAAAGGCACCCATGATCTAAAGAAGATACCGTAACTTACAGATATTTATAATGCCAGAAGATTTTATTGCTAACATATTAGCAACCCTTCCAATTATTTCATTAGACTAGAAGAATGTCGGATTTCTATAAATACAACGGGTTTATTCTAAGCCTTTTCATAACCTTTAACCACAGATGCACATTTAATTACTTTAATTCACTTTTATACACATATGCATCTTAGCATCTTTTACATCTTCGTTAGATCTTAAACATAATCGGTATTGAGTCAATAGTCTCTCTGTCCGTCTATGTCACTTATATTCTATGCGTAATTGGTTATGTATTTGATGATTAATAAACAGGTGTGTGGTTCAAGATAGGACGGTACCTATTGTACTCATTGATTTAATTATAATTAATTGGCTTCGCCTAAGAAAACATTTATAGTGCATATCCTGCACCTTTTATGGCTATTGTTATAACTACCAATGCTCTGCGTTCATTCGCATTTATTATTAACATCGTAGGAGAATTTATATACAACGATTAAAGGAATGACCATATTACAATAAGAATAAACTGTTAGATATGAAAAACATTGCCATTAAAAAGTCTATATAGTATCCAATTAAGGAATGTTATTAATAAAATTGGGATTAATAAATCATGAAAATCCAATAAATATCAGAAAGACAACGTAGCATATAAAACTCGAGGCCCCTTAAATCACAATCAAAATATGGTAAGATTTAATACACTTGGAAACGTAAACGTTACTAATAAAAGTCCAAATAAATCCGTCATCGAAAACGATGGAGATTTTTATATCACAGTTGGCATAAAATAAATTAAGAGTATAAAAGACGAACAACTAAAAGCGAAATTCGTTCAGTCGGAGCCTCAAGCAAAACTTGTTTTGGAATATTATGTTATCAAAATGATTTAGTGAACTATAAATGTCGTAAGTTTGAGAAGGAGTAACTGGTAAATTTTGGAAAGTTGCTACGGCCGTTTCCTTTCAAATGCTCTATAATAATTGCTGCTGTTAAATCTAATTTAGTGCGTACAGTCTTAGTTCATTATTCATAGATTTGATTGCGTTTAGCATTTCAATTGCTGGTATTTTGTATTTCATATTTTATGCTTCTGCGATATTATCTTCATTAATGTTATTGCAAAGCTTCATATTCATTTCAAGATTACAATCGATATTTTCTGTTATTTTTGCTTTAAATCTCATCCTTGATTTCGTTCGTGAGGCAGAATTGATTTTACAATTGGTTTCGCTCATCGCACGAGCACAATGTCCCATTTCTTTACGACTTTCATTTAAAGGTTCTTCATTAGTTGTTTGTAGGATATCTTTATCCTTAAGATATTTATTACATTTCACCATAATGTGTATCCTTTCAATGTTTATGCTAAAGCATATTTTAGGTATTTTATTTGTTAAATTGTCATTATGTACCATAAAGTTTATGGTCATAAAAATATCATGAATTGTTTTAATGATGTCATGGTTAATTGACGTTTATTTTTAGTTCGTCACACAATATTTTTGATACAACAGATGGTCTTTTATTTTTTTCTTGTAATTGCGTGTGTTTTGTCATGAAGGACCATAATTGCTTCAATGGTATACGTGTCCGTGTCCCTGCATTTTAGTTTTACACCTTAATTATTATATGGACTTGCATTTTTTTTTCTAATATTAAATAATTATAGGTGCTTAGGTTGTTTCCTTATGAAAATAAGAATTGTATTAGCAATTAATTAAAGCTATTTTAAAGACTAGGCAATTTGGTCCTTCGGTACAATTGAAATTTCTTGAATGTCCAATTTCTAATAATTTCATCAAAACATTGTAAATGGATTAGTGTCGAAATATTTAATTCTTAATTGGCTTAACGGTTTGAATAAACATCACATAGGTATAAATTAATAAAATATGATTACTTAAAAATACATTAATATTATATATAATATGTAAATCTGGAATATAAAGATACTGTTATTCTTTATTAAATCTGTGTAAATATTTAATCTCTAATACTGAACCTTTTATGATTTTAACGGGCGTCGGCCGTAAATAAATTTACTATTTATACATACTGTGACGGATTTTAATTAAAGTATAGTCATATATTGTGGTCCTTAGTATGTTTCAAACTGCCATAAGGTGTCAGGTTTCTTTAAATTTTAGTTCAAAGTTTTATTGCTGATTGAATCCATAATGATGTTAAAATACAAGAGAATGAGAGAGATATCACTACATAGTATAAAACAAAGTCGCTATCCGCCGTTTGTCTGTCCCTATGTATGCTTAGATCTTTAAAACTACGCACCGGATTTTGATGCGTTTTTTAGATAGAGTGATTCTTAAGGAACTTCTAAAAATAACATATAACCTAGACAATCTAAATTACACCTACTGTAACTACTAATTTGAGCCGTTTGGGGTATTTTTTCTTTTTATTCATAGGTTTAGTTGTAGTTAATTTTAAATTGTAAATATTTATGTAATTATATTTAATTACAACTTAATTAAATCTTATAAAACCATCATAATATAAAAAGTTAAATTACGTCACATAGACCGGTTAACAGGGGCCATGTTGCTACCATAAGAAAGGAATTTTTGCAAAAAAATCTTCGCTTGCACAGGCGCAGCCATCTACAGTGAGCAATTATGGCGCGCACAGACGCTTAGAAGCTCAATATTTTTATATAAATGGGATTAGTGATTTAGAATATGGCTTAAGTTAAGTTTTTAGAACCAAAGGACCAAATTGCCTAGTTATTCAAAAATCCATGGCTTACAAGGCCATGGATTTTTGTTTCCAGTTCTGTATATATATATGGTAGAACTTTTTTTTATACTAAACACGTATCTATGACAACTTTCTTGATTTGTTTTGAAGACAATATGACAATAGTTAACGGTAAAGAAAATATGTAAGCTTTCAAAGTGGTAAAAAAAACATAAAGTCGATCGATACAATCGCAATAAAACAGCACTTCCATAAGCAAATACAAATTAAAATTCCAAATCCGGAATTCCAAAAAAACATCACAGTTCAATTGCCGACGAAAAAAGAAACGGTAAAGCGGGTAATTCATTAGATGCATAAACAATTGAAGATCAAATTGGTCGCGTTCACACAACGCATTTAAGATACGGACGGTACCTACCTTTAGCTTATGTTCAAAAAGTATTACACCTTGATAGTTCAGGAAATGACAAATTGCTGACTTTCTATGGCTTTCACCAACTCCCGTGTGATTCAGGCACTTGTAATATGTAATTTTCCATATAATCTGTTAAAAGTTTTATTCGTTTAATTGAAGATTGTTTCTGATTAGATTTGCCGGTGGTTTCAAAAGTAGGTAGCGCTACTGTAATTGGTTGCCGGCGACATGCAATGCTAGTTGTTTCATTATATCTAATTTACTTTTTATTTTCTATTTTTTGCAGTACTCTAATGCTAGTCGCGTCCGCTAATTCTAAAATCGTGATTGCAAATTCTGGTGGGATGTAACACGCTTTATATTGTCTTTTGTCTGACAGATTACTGTTATGATTGCGAAGATTTATTCAATAATTCTATGAACTAACAAAAACATAGCTTGACAGTAATGGGATCGCACGTATCTTCTATTTTTGGACAATTATTAGGTGTTCCAAAAGGACCAGTGATGAAAATATATATTAATTTGTCTATTGACATCGATGCGGATAAATTTTGTGATGATGTCTGTAAATAGATTTTTACAGAGACCATCTTAGTTTTTCCATTTTCGTTTCCTTTTATTTTATTTCCTCTATTAGTTCTAGTTTATTTTAAGTTGTGCATATTTATTTATTGTCTTGTTTTTATATTTCATGTAGGTAATTGATCCGTTAATAAAAATTGTATATCAATAATAGCTTAGCTTCCAAAATTTTTTTGAGATCTGGTTCTAAATCAATATGGTTTTACTTTATCCCGTTGTCTGCAATAGTCACTATCGTATCAGTAGTTAACAATTTTGTTTTCTAAGCTTCCATATAGATCGAAGTGATGGCCACAACACCAATTAAGCTCGTTCCACCAATCAAACCGAATTCTTTCGTTTATTCCATTAGTCAGCCAGCCTAGCATTCTTATTAGATGATGAATTTAGTGAGGTCATTTTTGGGAATTGCAATTCTGTTTGTTAAAATGCTCTTGGTCTAAATCTTTCTTGTCTTTAGTATCTATGTATCTTCTTCTGTTTCTATGTTAAATGCTCATTCTCTTTATGGAACAAATAACTGACTATAAATGCAAATGACTGACCATAACACACACCGACCTGCTCATCTATAAAAGGGATTAACGGTATCTTAAGCTGAATGAGCAAAATGTTTTCAATTAAGTTCCCGATTATGTTATTTCCAAACTTTATTAATCGTGACCCCTTTATCAATGTAAGCCATACTTTCTCCAGCCATTCTCATAGTTATCACTAATTCCTATGCAAATACAGTCATTAAACAAGAAATATTCAATTGTAAAACGATGTCAAGTCCCCAAATTCTATCCGAATCATCAACCACACAAATTATTCGATTAACAATCGATTATGACTTATTGATTGATATAAAAATCGCAATAATCGATACAATTAATATCTGCTCATCTGGTCGTTTAAATGCTAATTCCTTTTTAGCGATTTTTACCGATTCATCGTCTTCGATGTTTTTGATTAGGTAATTCTAATTATGGATTTTTGGTAGATTTTCTACATTGATTGGTTTATGGGTGTTTATTGGTGATATATTCTTTGCCTGTTTTATTAGTTCAGTCATCTCGTCCGACAGAGCAATGTCTTTTGGCCTTGGAGATGAGTTATTAACTTCATACTTTGCATAATCTATTAAAATTTGTTAGGATTTTTATTGTAAATTGACGTTTTAGGACGTTAAGCAATAATTATGGCTTTTTCATTAGGTTCTAAAGTGACAGACTCATTTATTAGATAGATTAATCTTTTTCATACTTAATTTAATATTTCTAATAAACGAATCTATTTCTCAGGTGATGAGTGCTCCCACGAAGACCACTGCGCATCTCAGCCCTGTCGCAATGGAGGACGATGTGTAGCAGACAACAGCACTGCTGCTGGTTACTCCTGCGCCTGTCCTCCTGGCTTCACCGGCTCCCGTTGTACTGAAGATGTGGTGGAATGTTCAAGTGGCTCAGGTCCTTGTCATCATGGACGCTGTTTCAATACCCACGGGTCGTACACGTGTGTGTGCGAGCCTGGGTATACTGGCAGAGATTGTGATGCAGAGTATGTGCCATGTGAGCCGTCACCGTGTCATCATGATGGAAGATGTACGCCGCTGGACCAGTTGAGATACGAGTGTGATTGTCCACCTGGTAAGTAACTTTTTAAATTGTAATTATCTAAATGGTATGGACTTTACTTTTAATTTAGGAAGTAAGTCATTTACTACTTTATTAAACGTCATAGTTTTGATACAACCATTTAGTATATGAAGTGAAGATTTAAAATGTGTATCCTATTTTACTATTTAATTACTTTCCAAATGACTTTGAACTCGGTGCCACTGGTATTAAAGTCAACAATCTTTTAACACCTGTTACACAGTTACCAAAATCAACAGCCAAACAGGGTGTGTCGTCGACATATTTCATCTCATAAGAACATGTTCAATAACTTTCTTAATGTCCATGTTAGGCAGTATCATTCAATCAAAGAGATGTACAATGTTGCGGTGTAAGTCACCATAACCGGTGCTACTGAGACTGGGCAGTTGCAGTAGATTTTCGCAACGGAATGGGCGTGGTTCTAGGTGTTACTTTAATCGAATATGATAATGATATATAGCTACTTACTGTACATACTTTTAGTAAACCAGAGTTTAATACCTAAGCACTAGAATGGATCTCTGACAAAGGTCTTATATCAATCATTTATTTATTCTTTAGACAGTTCCATTGTGAAGTAGGTTAATATCAAAACAAATTCATACAGAACAGAGCATAAAACATAAGATTTAAATATCATAACCATTCATAGAGAACAACTGGCAGGCGGGTACTAAACAAACCTAACCTATTTCAAAATTGAATTTACGATTTACGCATTAGGTATAACTGCGTTTCTAATCTATATCGAGACACCTTATTAAAGTCAAGTACCTTACCTAGGTACTTTAAATCAGATGTTAGCAACCTTTTAGGAAGTAAGGACTTTCAGATTTTAAAATATAAAGCTAAATATGAGCTTCAGTAGCTCAATTTAATATATGCATTCATATTCAAAAGAATATTACAAAAATACGCGTAGTTAGAATAATAGTAAAATACGTAAAAAAATATTTGCTCCATTTTTAAAGTACCATACTATGGTTTAATTGAAATAAATGCTTTGACTTTGACTTTGACTTTAGAGAACCTTAAGTTTTTACAGGGTCAGCAAAGCAACCATTGCTGTAGCAAACGTCTGTCACGACATAGTATAAAACAAAGTCTCTATTCGCCGTCTATCTGTCCCTATATATGCTTAGATCTTTAAAACTAAGCAACGGATTTTGATGCAGTTTTTTTAATAGATAGAGTGATTCTTAAGGTAGTTTTATACATATGTATAATACATGCATATGCGAAGCCGGGCGGATCGCTAGAAGATTATAATTCTTTAAAAAAATTGCCATTAAATGTATACTAGAAAAATGAAAGACGGACTTCTTTGAATTGAAATAACTAAGGATAAGAAGACGTGATACTTGTCAACACATAACAAAATACAAGTAGGAAAATTACAGATAACAGGCCTCATGTTGGTAACCACAGCCCCAGACGACCAACTTTCCAAGGTTTAACCTAACATTTTCTCATACCAATAAACAGCGTAAGATATTCCAACGCAAATATAATTCACACTATATAATGTCATTGGACTTGAAGTCGAGAAAGTTCGATATATTTACGAGCTTATCGCCTCTATTTGTAGGATACTTATTAATATTGTTAACTAGTGTGTGCTGGAGAATCGTATTAATTATGCCTGTGTTAATCTTGATAATTTGTAGTTCGTGTCTGGTTTATTTTGTAAAGAAAGTGGTAGGGTAAGGTGGAGTTTAGATAGAAAGTATTAAATTGAATATTGATACATACTTTTGTTATCAAAAATGTTTACCTTATTAAAAGGTATGCGATTTTCTTATTATTTTTTTAGGTAATTGGGACCAAAATTTATTCGTCTGCTGCACGCAATCAGTGATCGAAAGTATTGTTATTGTATTGATTTTTACCCAACTTTCAAAAAAGGAGGTTCTGAGTTTGGCCTGTATGATATGTATGTTTGTGCTATCTCTAAACCGTGCGATTGACTAAACCGATTTTGATGCGGATTTTAGAAAAGTGTTTATTACCTGGGTGTTACATTGTACAGTGGTATCAAGTGTCGTTATGTACACCTCTGCCTACCCCTTCGGGGATAAAAGGCGTGTGATGTTATGTTATGTTTAGGAGAAGGTTTTAGTATATCAAGGTTTCAAGTGTTTTTTTTTTAAAGTAGTTTATAAAAGAGTTATTAAAATGGTACAATAAAGGTACGGTGGCTAGGTGGCATACAAATTTCCGTAGTTTCATCTATAATTTTACTAGATACATAAAGCAGTCTGTACATTTCCAAACTCATTGTTTCAGTCAACTACCTATTTGACTGGAACTTTAACACACTTTAAAATACGTATAAATGTCAATAAAATAGCCATCACTATTATAACCTATAAGAAATCGCGTCTAGACACGCATTGGACTATAAAGAGGATAGGCATTATCTCAGTGCGTTATTTACATCAGTTCTCGATCATAAAGTCGACTATAGCCGAAGGCGACCACGACGGACGAAAGCTGTAGAACCAAATGGGTATACTGCATAAATCTATAATGTTAATGTTCTGAGTTTATCTAGGCTGTGTACCTATAGTGTAGGTTGTAGATATAGGTATGAAGTTATGTTTGTGGAGGTTTAAATGACAATGTGTTTTGATGTGAAAGGTGGACGGTTTGTTTTTGTTTGGACGTTGCTAGCTGCTAGAATCAGATCTTGGTGACGTTTTTAAGATTTTGGTTTAAGGTTTTTGAAGTAATATATCCTTCCTTCTAGTCGTCTTCTTCATTACTGAAGGTCGTGTCTAGTCTGGTGCACGCGTCACTTGATGCACAACCCTCCTCCAAATGCCCCTGTCCTCTGCGGTCTTTATGGCTTGTGGAACTGTCAGGCCGGTTAGGTTTTTTACAGCATCCAACCACCGGTAGGTGAGCGACCACGAGGTCTTTTCCCGTTAACCCGACCAACAAACACAAGCTTCTCCAGATTGTTGGGGTCTCTACGCGCAATGTGGCCAAAATAAGTTAATATTCGCTGCAAATGAAATAATATATACCTATTTCACTACAAAAAAAGATTTAGCGAATTTGTTTGCGCGGTAATAGATATATTTTGCTTAGTGTTAGGTTCCAACTGAGAACCATTTTGGTATAATTATATTAATATACTACATTGTAGATTTCTTTTCGGTCTTTCATTTGGAACTGCAATCATGACGTCACATCAATATTTACCAAGTAAATGAAACATATCCACCTCAATAATACTACACTCCATTATTTTAATAAACCGTGTAATTTCGCTAAAAACTAAACCGCAATGACACAACAGTTACGTCACAATTTTTGTAGCTGCGCCGGCGCATCTAGGGTTCATTAGCTTTCATTACGCCGTTGCAAAATGATGGTGAGCACTTGCAAAACTTTTTACTGAGAACCATGCAGACAGGAGCACATGAAGATACCAAAAGTACAAAAAACCATTCTCAACTCTATATTTTTGTAATAGCGTTGAAAATCTATTAGGGATTTTTGACAGTTCAGGGTAACTTGATGTGCTAGTGTCTGTATCATATTTTGATGCTCCATGTTCGTGTTTCTGGGAAAAAATTGCGCAACAAGGAAATGATGGGCATAGTGACAAGCAGTGGGAATTTAATGAAGCTTTTTGTAATTGTTCACGTGATGTAGATTGAATGTACATAATTAAATGCGTTTATTATGTTGGTTACGGAATTGTAGACATATAATAACATACACATTGTATTTTATTGTTTTGTCATCTAAATAATTCCCATTGATAACTTTTAAGAGGGTCTATTCCTTCTAAATTCGTCTATAGATACGAATCACATTACAAATATGGGACTACCCAGTATCGCCATGGCAAATAGAAAAGAATATATTGATACAAAACACATGAAAACTGGTAATCTAAGTGTGAAACATAGATATGAAGAATTTAAACTCCAAATAAACATCTCCAAACCACTTGCAGACAATATGGACGATAAATTAGACCACACACTTGAACCGCAACGGAATAATTGACCGATGACTCGATAGAATTCAATGGACACCACTTTCACTCACATAACACTAAAGCAGGACACATCGATAGACCACTTCAATTAGCTCAATGACGTCACAACCAAACCCAAGTGTGGGAACTAAGTCCCACAATTAACGCCCAAAGTATACTTGTTTATTGCCAAAATATAACAACGAAACGCTTGATCATGTGAAAAATACTGGAAATTATATTAGGTCCAATTTTGATGTGAATTGATAATGAAGATTTTATAAAAGTCACACTGTTCATGTTTAATGTAAATTCGATTCAATTAGGGTGTGCTAAAGTTGTAAATTGAATGGTAGTGGTTAATGAAGATGGTGATTTATTTGAACCTGTGCTATGGGAAAAAGGCAGAGATAGTAACATATAACATAATTCACGAAATTTTGGTAAAGCAGAGTAAAGCAGAATGTCACCTGGAATCAAATTGTTATTACCGGTTGAGAATTTGTCAATTTTATCACTAAACACTATTTTATTTGATAGACAATGAAGTTCCAAAAGCTTTTCTACAGTAATCACATTTTTGTCTTCTAACGACTATGTTCTTCTTAGATTTATCTACCTTGAGCAATATCTGTTTATGTTTCTGCTCCCTATTGTGCTATTATAATTATTATCACTCCCCTTTTCTTTCCTCCGTCATCACTTCTCTTACAAACACTCCACGAACGATTGCTATCATTGTGTCATCTTCATCTTCTAACAAAAATGTTATTAACTTGTTCGCGTTTCTCTTTGTCTTCAATCCATGGATTAGTATTAAGTTTATTACTAAGAACTTTGTCATTTACAGTAATCTCAAGCAATGCATAATTTAGTACCTAGGTTTACTTAGACTGTCAGGTTTTTACCGCATTGCCATTCATCTGAGTAGTTATTTTACAAAGCTGCACGCTTCGGCGACTCCTTTGATTACATGTTTATTATTCTTGTCTTCATTGTTATTAAATGAATTCATAATTAAATTATCTTTTTCTAATTAATTTTGTACTTTTATATGAGGCAGAAGAGTTTCTATAATGTTTACCTAAATTGATAAGATGTCGTTACAAAACCCGGAAAGATATACAGTCAAAGCATTTATTTCAATTAAACCATAGTTTGGTACTTTTGAAACGTCTACAAATACAAAATAAATAATAGTCTGTCAGTTAGTCCGTCAGTGAAACTAGGTGAAGCTAGGTGCTCATTCCAAAATGTAGATTCGAATGGAGAACAACGAGCCAGAAACTACATTCGATACTATTTCAAACGATTCCACAATTATCAAAATTTTAATGATTTTATTGCAATTATTTTTAATTCGCGGCGTTGATCTTGATATTTAAAACCAGATAATTATATTGATAGTAATCTCTTTTAATGAACTTATCGATTGAAAATCTCACACGTCATCTTAAAGACGGATAATTATCTGTGAAGATTAACTTAGCTTTTAAAATATGAGTCTATGTACTTACTCAAAGCTTGCTTTTTATTTTTTCTTAACTTATAGATATAAATCTGTAAATTATTCCTATTTATGAACGCAAATCTCTGTAATCTAAGATTCCTGCTAAATTGTATAACTCCTAACATGACAAAGCAATTATAATAACATTTTAATATCTAAACGGTTTTCTAACCAAAATAAAATAACTAGAAAAATCAATCATACTTCACAAAACTATCCATTAATGCGTCTCATTTCCTTAACAAAAAGTGTCAGTAATAATTTTCCTATTAAATAATATATGAATCATTAACACATGTCCAAATAGACATGACATGTGTTCGTTTGAAATAACAGCTTCCGTGCTCGCTTCACTTATGGGAATGCTGGGAGAGGATCTCTCACAGTACCATATTATGTTAATCCAACCGTTAATTATATTCCCAAGTCCACAAAACAAGAAGCACCAATATTTGTGACCAATATTTGACTGTACGTAACCAATTTATCATAGTCTCGCTTTATGTGATCTTTCTGTGCATTCGACGGTCTGTTAATATTGGTTTTGCATAGCTTATTGTGTAGTTGTGTCTACCAATCATGGCGTCCAAATTCAAATATGGCGGACGAATTGAAGTTTGAATTTGGAAATGTTTGTTTGATTGTTTGGTAAGTTGAATAAAAACTGTTTTGAAATAAAGGAACTTCTTATATTAAAGATTACGTACAACCAAATTAATTGAAATTAAGGGCTTAATGACCTGAATTAATTGAGAAAAGCTCTACTAGTTGTGTGCCACCACTTTTGTTTATCCAGACTTGATCGTATACCTGATAATAGGCATGTTTTATTTATTACAACACAAAAAACGTATTCAACCCTGTATCTATAAGGTTACAACTTATTAATTAAGAATTTAATTCCAAACTCCGAAGAAGAAGTAATTTATTACGTATGTTAATTTTTTTAATGGAAAAATTTAATTTGGATGCATCATTTCAAAATTAAAATTTTAAAGGAAATGTTTAGGCTCGTTTTATATACAATAAAACTTAAGAATTTTGTTTTCTACACATTAAATTGACGGCGTGAAGATAAAGATCTGCGCTTACGCATCTGAGGACAGTTTCATTTGTGACCTTCGTTTTATGATTAGGCCATGGTATTTTCAATCTTATTAAGTGCTAATTAGGACTAAATTGTTTAATTAAGTCGAGGTTTTAGAATAGTTTAACTTTTTTATGGGTATGTTTATGGTGTGCTTTATTCTCTCAAATGGGAATCGAGTTGTATTGAAGCGATTCTATGGCGCGTTTTGCCTTAGTTGCTTAATTTCTAATGGTACTCACAATTACATAGTTTATCGTTTTGAGTTTATGAATAGTAAAATAATAGAATAAAATATTTTTAAAGACTGCCTCGTTGGCCGAGTGGTCACAAGTGCGACTGCCGGGCATGGGGTCTCTGTTTCGATTCCCGGGTCGAGCAAAGTATTACTGGGTTTTTAAAAAAATCTCAGTAGTAGCACGGAGTCTGGAATTGTGCCCGGTATATGGCAATAGGCTCACCCCCTATTACATGGGACTCATAACATAAATAGTGAAAAGTGGGTGTTACTTCTGTATGCACTTCTGCCTACCCCTTTAAGGATAAAAGGCGTGATGTAATGTTATGTAAAATATTTTTATTCGTTTTAAATCTTAGTTTAATATAGAGTGCCTTTCTGCTAATGAAGTGGGGATATCGAAATGACAGCTGAGGACAATGCGAGCAATTACCCCTCCGATAGGTTGGATCATTGAAGCTGGCCAATCAGAATGCTGAACCAACGTCATAAGCCCGTTGATCACGTTAACATAAAACAAACTCATACTAGGACCACTGGTAGCGGTTGAATGTGAAGAATAGACTGCTGTTAATACGTAATTATTATACTGAAATTTCTGATGTCTTCAAGGCCCGAGTGAATAGGTTGCTACTGGAACGACGAGCTCCATCGTAGACCGCATCATCGCTTACCATCAGGCGAGATAGTGGTCAAACGTCGGCGCTTCAAATATAAAAAAAAAATAATAACAATTACGATATTCTTTAAATGTGCATGCAGATTATGTCAAAATACATATACCAGCATACTATACACCCAATCCCTGGAATAGAAGAAAAAAAAATAAAACCAAATGACGTCATAAAAGACAGTAAAAACTATTTCCAGCACAAACCAAACATTGTAAAATCCGAATTCGGTAAAATCGTTACCAAAATATTTACCGTCGACTTTCCGCGCGTCGTTTTCGAAGCAAAAAATGGCGTCGAAAGATTTGAACGCGGCGTCGGCGCCTGCGCAGCTACGGTAAACAGTTGCACATGTGTTAGCCGTGGGAACGGGTCGGTTAATGAACATAATGTTATTCTTTACTTGCTAATCGAAGCGTATGGACTTCGGTGTAATTTCAACACTTCTAGATTAACTGTAGGATGATTGAAGATGAAATTGGTTTAATTCATATAATTGACTGTCTTGCTGGTAGGTGTCATTAGTGGGAAAGCTTATTGAGTGTCGAATTCGATCTCTAGGTTGAGGAAAATCCACCATACATACGGAGCCACGGAGGTCTTAACGGTTTGCCGGGGCTCCGATTCAAAGTGCATTAGTAGGAACGGGGTGTTTTTTATTCAGTAAGAGTCCGACACTCCCTCTCGCCTCAATCGGGCGGGAGAATTAAATGATTTTCCCCCGTCTATAAAAAAGTTGAGGAAAATAATATTGGAGCTACAGATTTTCAAATTGTTAGTTGGTAAAGCATAGGGTCTGAAATTATATCTTGTGTAAGTTGCTTATGAGAATAGGACCCTCTTACATTTTTATCAGTTATTTTGTATGAAACTTCCATGTGATGAACATAAGTGGTAAAATAATCACATGCAAGTAATTAAATGTATGTGTATTGACGATTGCATCTCGCATAATAAGTATGTCATGCATTCATGGAATAGACACAACTTAGGTTTCTATTTTTCTGAGTAGGTATCTCAAAATGACGACAGTTTTTAATTGAAATCCTGTAATGACTCATTCATGAGACTTGAAACAGCTATTTGTTCCTCTATTTCTTAAACGCTAATTATTATCTTTACTTCTTTTTCTTTTACTTAGTGTTTAGCATGTTGTTTTAAGATAATTTAACAAAAAATAGTCGCATGACTAAAGTTAGCTCTAAAAACTTTGTTATATGGTTCACTGGTTTCTGCTAAGCTTAAATTGTCTATTTTTTCACCTGAAACTCTAAATTTAGTTTAAACAAGACCAATGTTAGTTAAAAGATTTTTAACGACGTGTAATTTTTTTTGGTCTACCTCGTTGGTTCAGTCTTAGGTGGTTGGAAACCAAATATTACAGTTAATTATCAATTCCTCAGCTGGCTGGCTCAGTTATAATATTTTGACAACAAAGTTTTCGAAAGTCCAATATAACTTAGAAGTGCATTGCGTAAATATCAATAAGTGTGTAGGTTGATCTTTTTAGTAGACACTTTATATGAAGGCATTATACTAAATAGACTAAATAGAAAAATTAGAAAAGGAAATGATATTAGAAGTTTATTTGTAACATTTCTTCAGCACACAGTTCACCCATTCAAAACACAAGGCGAGGTCCAATGACTCCATCTATGTTACAACACCCTTTTTATCATTAATCTACAAAATACATAACACGTGTTTTTCATCTCCGAGCCGCTAACACTTCAGTGTCGAAAATAGAAAACACATGTGTTACTCAGGATAAGTAGTCTATCAAAATTTTAAGAGTATAGATGACTAATTAATTTGGGAACTTTTAGATTTCGGAACTCCCATGCTTATGACTCATGGTCTAAGAATTTTAGGATTCGAATCGTACTGTATCACTTATTCAAATGAACTGTTTAACAATTTTCAATAGATCTTATTGTATTAGGAATGCATTCTTGGTTAAATTTTAGTATGATTCATTCTATATTTTCTATTACGAGTGTATGTAACTTCTTGATAAGTAGCGGTATAAAGAGTATCTACATTGAATGCTACTTCTGATTCAGAAGTCAAAACAACATGCCCAATCCTTTCAACATTCACATCTTCACAGCCAACATAAAATACCTTTCAACCTCCATCCTATAGTTTAGAATGTAAAATAATAAATGTAATAGCCGCACCAAGCGATTTATCATTCGGCTTTATCTAAATCTTTCATCTTTCCTCAGGTTATCGCGGGCAGAACTGCGAGATCGACATCGACGACTGTCCTGGCCACTTGTGCCAGAATGGCGCGACCTGCGTCGACGGGCTCAACTCCTACACTTGCGAGTGCCCGCCCACTTTCACCGGGACCCTCTGCGAGATAGATGTCGACGAGTGCGCTCTCAGGTAAGCCTTTGACCTCACCTACCTTAGTCTTATGATGTCCTAGTACTTTCTGATCTGTATCGCCATAATGATTTGTATGAGCGACTTTAATATTACTGTAATTAGAAACTCTACTCTAAAATCTATGTGTTACATTACTTAGCACTGTAAATAAACCTTTCTGTTTATCAAGCTAGAACAAGCGAAACACGATACCTTTAACTTTGCGCTGAACTTTAGAAATGCTATTCTATTGTTTATTGAAAGCTAACAAGACAATTGTAAAGTATATTCTAGCGTCGATAGCTGAACGATTCTTTGACCATTCAAGTCTAAAGGACAGTCAATTTTACCGACAGTATTGACATTAACCTGAGTGACAAGAGAATAGGGTCTTGATGAATGATAGAGAATACAAGATGAAATAATAGCTTTTATTACATCGCAAGAACCTTTCACGTTAATAACTCTATTTGTCGGCGAGTTGCATTGTTTAATGCATCATTAAAAACGTGATGGTCATAGCACGTGTACCTAACTTCAACATTTATAGCTTTACAATAATTATTAACTTTGACCATTTGGCTTACAAGTTCTCAGAACGCGAAAACTAGTCGAGTAATTAAATTAACAAATCGACAAACCGATCTTATCATTGATATAGATAAATGAAGATATCCGACGGTGAAGCGGTTAAGATCTTTGCACGAACCAACAAAGCGAGAACCGCTACTTTGATGAAGCTCCTCAGAAAATACTGTCAATTATATAAAATTAATTGCAGTTTTATAAAATTGTTGTTACTGTGCTAATGCGGAGCCAATACTATTAGTTACTGATAAAAATGAAGGCGAGGAATAACAGTCTCGCGGCCTACTGAAGTATGACTCAGCTTCATTTTTATTGACAATCAAGCTTTCATACTTAAACAATTTCTACACATACAGTTACATCTCGCCAATTTGTAGCCTCATGTATCCTTGGACCTCGAAGCACGGCCTATAATTGACAATGAAATATTACCGCTGCCATACCAGCTGTCATAGGATTATCGACTTTATTACCCAGATGAAAGGGGCGCGGTATGTTCGGATTGGAAAATATGTGTTGCGAGATATTATTCGCTTGTCAAGCAATCGGCGCGGCCCAATTAAGCCAGCGTCCCGGCAAAATGAAGTCTGGAACGGATCGGATGATTGCACCACCGAAAAAGCAAAATTGACCAAAGATTACTCCTTATTACATACACACAAGGCTGAATTTAGGAAGGACGATTATTTTAAAAACAAAGCCGCGTCCTGATCTCCGTAATTCAATACGAGACGCCATGTTGGATGACGCTCAGCATGCGACTATGTCCATATTACATTTTTTGCGTAACTCGTTAAAAAACCGACAAGTTAATGAAACGAATTACTGCCAAATGTTATTATAAACGGGCTAATGATATCTACATCTGTATTGAGATGTTTTTTGTATGATACAATATCATCACGGCCGTGTGTCGATGTATTGGGCGTTAATTACAAAATAACTCGTCAAGAAGTCAACGGCCCCGCGTCTCAAGCGACGACTGAATAGCGGAACACGCTTCATTCTTCCTGTTTACCTTATTATGTTTGTACTTTTGATTTTTCTAAGTGATTCCACATACTACCTAATTTACTTGGGAAATATTCATGTAAAGTCTCTTTCTACATTTTTTGGAGGCGCTAGATCGTTTTCGACCTTGATGTTAATGGCGTTGAATTCATTATCGTTATTGACGATTTATACATTATCTGTCAAATTAAAGTGGCGTCTAAATTATACGTCCGCTAAATTCTCACAACATAGTATAGGATCAACGTCCTAAGTCGCCATGTGCGATGCGCTGTTCCTTCATTAATTGTTACCTAATGATTGGCTAGAAAAAACTTTATGTTCCTACGTTCGCACGGTATAAAGACTCGCGTTCATAATACTTTAGCGTTTGTAAACGCAAATGACTTCATTTTTTCCTATAATTGCCTTCTGAAGTGATGATTAGATGTATTAATGACCGTTCAAGTACTTCTTTATTAAATAAATACTTGGAAATAATTTAAATAATGTGATTTATGACTTGTAAACTGCGGGCGATGTGTATTTTGTTTAAATGTCCATGAGTTGAACATTCATTTGGCTTCTGTTTTTGTCTTTCGCATAGTTTTTTATATGTATCAAATTCACGTCCGGCAAGATTTTAGCTCAGAACGTGTGGCTTCTCTTTATCCGGATTTCAAGGCTTCATATGATCAGGGATGAATCCTGAAGGCTTTTTTCTTGGGAAACTAGCCTCATGAGCATGTTAAGATATATCTTCATTACTAGTCGAAAGAAATGAATCTTATTCATTTTGCCTTCTACAATAGAAAATACTGTGGCAGTATTGCAGGTGCCCAAAATTACGGGTGTTAAGATACTTACTGAAAATGCTCTTATATCGTCTTTGCATATCGAGAAAACCGATATTTCATCTTTAGTTTCGGATTAAGGGCTTGCGGTACCTCCTACGTTCTTTCACACGAGAATTAATTTAACTGAATTAATTTTATTCTCAATTTCGTTACATGTCGCGTGAAACGAATCGTAGGAATGTGCAACATTCACTATACTATGCTTACTATCCGTATCAATACTATAAATTCTTCTGGTACTGGGTGACTTAGACAATTGACATACAATGAAAACTACTGATCATAGGAAGGTAAAAATTGGTCTTTAGGGTCCTTTGCTAAGGACAGGAGCCTTAACAGTACCTAGAAATTCCTAAAGGAATTAGAATCATGGAACGTTTTTAACATAACATCACGCCTTTTATCCTCGAAGGGATATACATAAAGTACATATTACGGCACTTAATGTACAATAACCCACTTTTCACTATTTATGTTATGACTCCCAAGTAATAGGGGGTGAGCCTATTGAATCATAGAACTTCTTTTGTTTTGTGTCTTGTTGTGTTTGAAATCGGAAACAAAAGCTAGCCATGAATATTTTATACAGATTGCTCATTACTTGTGTTTATTATTCTATGGTACCATGTCCAAAATATGATTTTATAAATGGAACAATCCAATATTCCTCTTCAATAGCTTGTAGATGGAGATTGATTGATGTGTTGTACATGAAAGATGGCGCCGATTGTTCATACCTTTAATGCACAATAGAAGACAATCCTCAAAGTGCATCATCAATATTACAATATGATACAAGAACATTTATTACATAATTATTATCATTAGTTTTTATTCATATCTTCTTACAATCTTCGATATAAACGTATAAAATCTTGTATGCTCGTTAAATTTCTCTATCTTTGGTATAAGTTCTTTGGCCGACCACCAAGAGGGACTCCCAATGGTGATCAATTAAACAAAGTAAAAATCATTGGATAAACAAACTAAAAATCCATGTCTACTCCAAAAGCATCTCTTTTTTGGGCCTTCAGATATATTGTGTACATCGTAAAAATAATACGATTATAAAAATGAATATTATTACCCAATTCCTCTGAATTAATCATCTTTATACTAACTATTAATATTTCGACCATCTATGGATTTGTCAGACCTCCCGCTGCATAGGCCTCTTACGAAACCAAACGATCTACGTTTGCACCCTGATACATGTCACGTGATCCCTTATCGTAACCCAATAAAGTTGAATTTCGATCACAAATTCCTTACTTGACTGTCCCGATAACTTTGTACGGATACACTTTAGCGTAGTGTTGTTGCTTATGTTTTGTTTTACTTATAGCATGTACTGCTGTGTTTGGTTTGATTTTCTAATTTTGGACCTTAGTGCTTTCTTGTTTAGCTTTGTTTTTAGTTGTGGTTTTGTTTCATGGGATAGTGTCACAGTATCCGAGTCGTTGGCTCATGAAACGCGTCAGATAAATGCGTGCCCAATATCAAGTTACGTCTTGGTGGCTCCGTTCTTTTATTTTCGTTTGGTTTGAAGCCCTCTGAGGTGGAAGTTGATACAGTTTTTATAACAGGGTTTTATACTAGATCGTATCGCGCTTTAGGTGTCGTTTTAGAGGTTATAAAATTTGGTTCGTTCTTTTTTATTTCTTAAATGGAATATCTATTTACAATTGATCTGCTCACATCCTCCTCATTTGCATAGTTATAGTGAATTCCTGGGTTAAGTAAATATGTAAAGTCTTTTGCGTATATCAGTGTTGAAATTCAAATTCTCATACAGACAAGGTCTGGAAGTCCACATTCCTAAGTAATACGAGGTTCGTCTAATACACAATACTATTGGTCTTTGTGTGTTTCAGTCGTGTCCATGAAACAGAATTATCCAAACAACCTTTCTAGCATTAAAACAATAGCCAATACATAGTCTATGAATTATTCCGGCCCATCAATCATCACGCTGCGTTCCCTGAGGTATAAACAGGTATAATCTAGCGTCAGTCATGACTTACGATGTTTCTGTTGCGCCCGAAGCGTAGCCAACGGGGCAGGTGGCGCTGCGATCGTATTACGGGTTAGAAATTTATTATGAAACTTGCATCTTGTATTTGTCTTGTTTTATATGGAAGTTTTGACAAATTGCCCGTTATAGGTCATCATTTCTTAACTGGTCTGGTGGGCTTCGAGCTAAAATCTAGTCGAAATCGATGTGGACAAGTAAAACTTTGTAGGTACTATACTGGAATATTGTGGCTTAAGTTAACAGTATTTCGGACAAAATTAAATACGTCAATTCCTACGTTAATTCCTTTCTGGTCTAGTATTCTTGTTTGTAAACTGTAAGAACGAAAAAAGGCGCGACGATAAAATATGACCAAGTAATTGTTAGTGCGTCAATGAGTGCTAGGTAACCATTAGCTACGATTAGTCTACTTCATTATCTCTCCCAATAACGTGTGCCATAACCTCTTTAACTGATTTTATATTTAGGTTGTTTTTAACACTTAAATAATTTACGTAATCCACAAGTGTGGGATCTAAAGAGTGTTTATTTAAATGCTTCCTTTCCTC